TCAGCTGTTACTGAAATGCTTAAAACACTGATGCATTGCTAAGTCCAAAAAACTTCAGTCTTTTGGGAAACCTTTAAAATTATTAAAGAAAACAAGCATCCAAAACCCCTGTTAAAGCAGAACAGCCTTATCATGGCTTTTCTCTACCTTACTGAAGACAAGTTTAAGGAAAGTCTTTTTGCAGAAGCACTTTAGAACTATAGCTCTAAATGCCACCCAGGCCAAGAGCTGACAAAACACATCAGCTTCTGGAAACAAAAGCAAAATATATGACAAAGCAAAACTTGACAGTAGCCCTTAAGCTTTGCCAGTGTTAACATCTCTGGCATCTGTTCCAGTCTGAACATGTCCTCTCACTTCCTTGCACATTCCTCACTTCACTTAAGCTAAATGTTCTGTGGAAATTCAGCGCCCTACGGAACTCCAGGGACAGGTCTATTTAAAGAGTACCTTTCAGAATGGTTTTTTTTTTTAACAGCAGCAGGTGGCATGGCCCTGGCTACATTTTTGACACAAATATTTACAACCAAAGCATGTGGAGTGCTACAAGGAAACACCAGAGGAGAGGGATGCTTTTTACTGCCAACATCCTGAAAGCGTTCAGAGTTGGACTCATCACCTCACTGGGAGAGAGCAGGAGCTTGTTTCACACGTGGCTACGCCTTTAACAAAACAGCACCCTAATTTATTTCCACCTGCTGTAGAGGACTTTATACACTCATCATTTTTAACACTCTTTTAACCTCTTAGAAAATTAAACCTCCATCAATGAACTTACGAACTGATTTTCAAAGTAACTGGTTACCAATAGTTTATTCTAGTGGCATTAACTTTTAATAGGCAAAGTTACACACATCTATAAATTTTTTTTATAATTCTAGATTTCTTGTTTATTATTATGGCATTTGCAAGCAAGGAGTTCATATCTCTTTTTCATATGTTTTTCTTTCTGAATGAAACTATTTTCCCAGTGATACACCAAATTCAAGGACCATTAGTTTTCCTTTGCTAGTCAAGAGAAAACAAAAAACTTTGAACTTCAACAATATGAAGTATATTTGGAAGGAGCAGAACTTTGCAGACCTGCTCTTCACCAGATAGTATTAAAGAGAGAAGGTGCCTATACTATTACAATGTAAAACAAACAAGCAAAACTCCCCACCGTTACATTCATGCCCATGGAAAATTACTATTCACTTCAAAAACAGAAAATCAGAACCACAAACTGAAAAACTAAAGACTTAGCTACTGTCTCATGACATATCCTCTTCTTACACATACAAACTGAAGCAAAAATACATAGCTGCTACTGGAAAAACAGTACACAGCAAAAAGAGGTAGAAATATTCCTTGAAGAAGACACACAAAATGCTTAAGTGGATAAGAAAAGGTAACAAAAACATGCATTATACATCCTACAGATATTTATTTCAGTTTTTTTTTCCTTTTCAGTTTGTGGAAGAAAAGTTATTCTTGTCAGAAATATTTTTGCAAAGATAGTAATTTCTGGTTTTAGGAGAACAAAGAGCTACGACTTTTGGTAAAACGGGAGCATCTTTTAACTTTTAGAAGTATTCTTGAAAAAATATTACATTAAAAGGGTTTTCTGGGGAGGGGATACAGCTTCTAGTGGATTGCTTTCTAAAACCACCTAAACATCTCATTTCCCAGATCCATTTGCCTAATGAAGTCATCACATTGCAATTAATATATGACAGAGAGGGATTTTTAGTCAACAGAAGGTATCAATTAGAAGACTCATTGCATTTTCCCTTCCATAGGAGCAGCCTGCCTCTGTATGGGAGACCCAGGATAACTGACTCACACTGAATCAGGATGCCTCTTCCAATACATAATCCCAGATAATATTTGTACATCCAGAGAAGTTCAAATCAATACGACCAATATGAAATACATTTCACTGTTGATAAATATATTTGGGGCGAGATTTTCTCTCATCAATATCAGGACTGGGTAAAAAGAGAGGACAGCATCAGGGAGTGAATGGGACTGCCCTAAATCCCATCAGCTGGAAACATTCCCCAAAGAAGTGATTATCACCAGCTGGCTGCAAACTACAGACATTTGGTCTGGACTCACAAAAGCATTTGATGTGTCTCCATGTCACTGATTTCAGCAGACGCAGACCTTTAAATACTCGTAGGAATCTGTGTCATTTCCCCTTCGTAGCCCCTGGTTGAAGAGTTATGTGAATTCAAGAAAATCTGGGACTTACTCAGACATGGGAAAGCTCTACCTAGTAGACTATAATCAGAATCTGCCCTTTTTGTACCCTCTGATCAATGTGAAACTGAGGCTGAAAACTCTCTATTCATAACTAAAACTCCTGTTCTTCCATTTGGCTCCGTCCCATTTGGCTCACCAAAGAGTGCTTTTAAGCCTTACTGGCTTCAGTTGCAGGATTGGTTCCCAGTGGACACTACTGTCATTACAGCATTTTGTTTGATTTTATTCCCCTTTCTTCCCTGAGAAGCAAGAACTCTCTCTTCCAGGGACACTAAAATCTCCCTACATAAATACAAATGGAAAGGGGGGAAAAGTAAAGTAGAAGCAACACAATCGCACAGTTAATCAAGCTGGTTTCACAATTTTAAAGAAAATGGATATGTGTCTTTTATAATACATGCTATAATTACTTTATGGTGGGAAGCTTTTAGATGTGAGAGGTGTTGGAAAAGGGAGTTTTGTTGTGTTTGTTTGGGTTTTGTGGTAATTTGTTTTTTCGTTTTGTTGGTTTGGGTTGAGTTTTGAGTTTTGCAAGGGGAAAGGCTAGAGCATGAGATATTTTCACACACCAGGAATTTTTTAGGAACAGTGGTTGCCAAAACACAAACTGTCTTCAATATGAAGAGCTGTTATAATTCATAAATACAGCTTTTGCAATGGCTTTAAAATGTCAGTATTTTTCATAAGTAACTCTTACCAAATTTTTGAAGAGTGCAGTTAATTCCTTTGTAAACACAGAAAATTTTAAAAATGCTGTTCCCAAATCTGGGTCATCCCTGCAAACACAGTTGCCTCCGAACTTCTCCAGTGCTTGTGTATACTGTTCTTCATTTTCCACGTGAGCTTCAAAAAGAGCAAAACATGAAAATATCATCAGTAGATAAAAGGCTATTGAAACTACGATTGAGGGGTTTTAAAAAAAAAAAAAAAAAAACCAACTTTCCAGATTTCTTGCTAAAAATGTTCATTTGATACATCATACATCTACTATTTATATTTTAACACTAATAAGACAGAAGTATGACATATCTCACTAATTCTGGTTTACGTGTATCTATCCACATGCTGTACAAAGGACAATGTGCCACCAACACAAACATCTGGCACTCTAGAAAGAGCCACAATATTTCTGCACCATAGCTGAGACTGCATAACAACTCCCAAATCCTATAATGAACTTTTTTATTTTAGAGCCTTTTATTAACATTTTCTGATTTCATCTGTGTGCTGTTATGTTTTACTGTGTGCTGAACAAAGAAACAGAAGGGATTAAGTGTGTTGGCAGTCTTAGTTCTCTACAACAAAAGGCAGCCGATCAAATAGGACTCTTGAGTCCCCTCAATACTACAGACTTCACTACGGATGAGGACAAAACCCATACCTATGTTAGCTCTCTGATTCAGAGCAGGGTCTGAAGCAAATCCTTGCAGTCTGCATTTACCATGGGCCTGTTCAGCTCTCAAAGCACCTCTGGTTCACAACAACCAGATTCCTTTCTGAGACAACAAAACCAGACCAGTGCAAGTCACCCAGCATACACCCAATGCTTCTGCTCTTCAGAAACCTTTGAGCTGCACGTGTTGGGGGTTACTCAGTCCAGGGGACGAGAGGAAATCTAGGCCTAAAATAAGCTTCCCTGATTCAAATACTAAGGAAATCTGAGGGGCCCTCAGTCTCAACTAGTTCGATCAAGGGATTCACTCCCAGGACACCAGCTTACTTGCTTGTGTAGACAAGCATAAAAAGTCCCTTTGTCAAAAGTCAATTTGATCTGTGGAATAAAATAGAAAGTCTTTCTGAACCCAAGTTTAGTGACCATGTCAAGCTTGAGAACATGGACAAAGCACACCAAGCTGGCACCTGAGAAAGTTAATGTTGCCTATTTCTTATTCTAACTGTGGCCAAATTCTAAAGCTTCAAAGGAAGTCAGGGGAAAAAACCCCATGCCCTAGAAAACAAATTATGCATTAACAAGAACAAAGACTGTCTCGGTCATTACATGAGACCTGCATAAACCCTGAAGATTATTTTAGAGAGGATTAATCTGTTCAAACGAGCAATGATCCAGTTTCAAGCCCATTTGTACACATCAACATATTTAATATCCAAAGGATTTTTTATGTAATGTCCTTTAGCCAAATTTCTATGAATTAGTTACACAACCTGTTCAATAAAATTAAAAATAAGCCAGTCTGTCCACACGTCCTACCTGGACAGCCATTGAAGACCTTTATTTCTCAAATAGCTGCAAATTTTCTCTAATTTCTAATATATGAAATTAAAATCCCGTGCAGCAGTAGTATAACACCGTGTAATTAAAGACTGGCATAATGTACATGCAAAACTGAAGTTGCACAGAAAGCATTAATTCTACAAGTTTCTACCTTGACAGCTTAAATTTGCAGCCTAAGAGATAGTTTGCAGACAGCTACCAAGTTTAAAAACTAAGTGCTAGCACTGAACTGCACTTATTTTTCCTCAGCAGCAACAGCAAGGGCTGAGCACTTAACAAAGCTTTTGCTGCAGGATGTTCAGCATACACCTGGACAAGCTTTAAATGGACTGGCAGGGACAGCAAAACCCAGGATATGGCAGGTCACAACTCCTCTGGATCTCACATCTACCCGGTAAGGTGAACTATTTCCATACTGCTTTCTACATTCTTACTGCTTCCTGCATCCAGCTTAGCTTAGGAAAAGCAGAGGTCAGCCTGCAATTCATACAGCAGAAGCAGAAAGCTGCCCCTGCATGAGAACAAGGTGAAAAGGCTGCTACCACTAATTGTCATGGTGAGATGTGTAATCAGCAGCTGAACCACGCTGACTTTTTACTTTAGGAAACAAGAACAGCATCCATTCCACACAGCATTCCCAAGAGTCTTCTGTTCTCCAGCATCCTAGGGACTGCTCTTCTACAAGACATTCCCCAGAATGCTGAAGATGATTTTTGCAGCAATACTATTAACTGAGCTGGTGCTCCACAAGTGCTTCTGAAGAACACAAAATTCTGTTTTTCTCATGGAACCCTCCAAAATGCTCTCCCTCCCCTATGTTTTCTTCCTAATGGATTTTAAAAGTTTCCCTAAAAGGAAAAGTATGAAATCTATTAAAAATAGATGTAAACATATGATTCAGGTATGTTTGAGGGTTTGGAGGCTTTAACTAAGAAACAAAACTATGTAATCCTTCATAAAGGTTTGTAAATTCTTACATTAAAGAAGAAGGAACTTCCTTTCAATTAGTTGACAAGAATTACACCACAAGAGCAGTTCTTGTTCTAACTTTGAGTTTGAACACCAACATGACTACCAGTTCTATCAGATAATGGTGGCTCTCCAAGGTTGCCAGGCCTATCTGTTTTGCATGTAATACTGGTTTTCTTAGCTCTAATTGCTATGAACTGGACAGTGAGAACAAAAGCCAACCAAATGCTGTTTCTTATCCACAAAAACAAATGCTGTTTCTTGTTCATAAAATGCTGCTGCTGCACAAAAACAAAAGCTTCAGTTATTTTTTTTTCAAAGAAGATAAACACACACAACTCCAAGAGATTGGCACATGTTTAAAAACATATGCAGCAATAGTTCTTTGTATTTTTTCAGCATTGGAAGAGAAATATCTGACTTTGTGCAACCTGACAATAAAAAACTGTAGCACATCAGCTGTCTCTTGTCATGAAATTCTTAATATACATAAGTGGAAGGCACCAAGAAGAGTGAGGTTTCGCAAAGCAGTAGAGCAAATGTAGCTTCTTATTGCTGCCAAAGAGTAATTTCACCCCTCCCATGCCCTCAGCTCTTGACGATACACTTGCCTTGCCATTTCAGGTGCCCAACTAATCCCAGTTAACTTGATTTCACTGCATATGTTGCTTTATGGGAGCTAAAAATCTCCCCTAGGGACGTGCCGAGCAGCAGGGGTGGCAGAAGGAGCAGGTAGCCCAGACCTGGGGGAAAGGGAAGAGCACAACTTGCCCACTTTGTACCCCTACACCAGCGAGAGCCGTTCAGCCACCTCACCACATTTCATCCTCACTGGAGTTATGTACTTACCCAGACCAGATAAGTTTATGGCTTTGACAGATTTCTTCATTTTATAGAGAACAGTTCGGTCAACATCCAGAGCCTAAAAAAAAAAGAGAAAAATTAAAGCTGGAATAGTGGATTGCCCTCTGGCAAACCTCTGCTCTGGAAACCTGCTGTAACTATAACACTATTATGTTAGTTAACTTTATTTCTGTAATTAATAAATTACTTGCCATTTGCTTCCTCTCCCCTCCATACAACCTATTTTGTCCCCCTGCCCGCAAAAATACATCCTCCCTCTTTTGCTGGTGACCAGCATCATATACACTCATCAGGAAATGATTTACACAGTATCTTCTTTCCTTGTTAAATTATTAAAGAAGCTTAAAACAGTTTTGATCCATCATATGTTCTGACACTGCTGGAGAAACAAGCAATATCACTTCCCCAGGCAGAGTATTAAAAATTGAATTTAATTTCAGTTTTCCTGGATAATTTAGTTAATTGCACTCCCAACTATATGAGCTTTCTCACAGCTATGCTGAACAAAATATATTACATATCTCTCAAATAACTTTCACACATTTTAACACAAGGCAAAGCTTTCACCAACACTATATGAAATTCAAGTCTAAATCTTGTTAAGAATACCCAAGCACTAATAACCAATTTGTTTCAAAGAAAGAAGTGGAAGTAGGCAACCATTTTGCTTACTGAAAGTGAAATACAAAAACTCTCAAAAATGTAAAATTGTTCCAGAACAGAGAAGCAGAAAGAATGGTTATACAAATTAAAAAAAAAAAAGAAAAAAAAAAAAAGTTGTTAATCTTCAAGAAAATGTAAGTATGTGTTCCAGAGATGGTGGTGTCTTTGGACACCACTGAAGAACAATATCAAACACTACAAATTGTATTACACCAAGAGCTGCTTAGCATGATGCATGATAAAAAAAAAAAATCCACCAAATTAATTCCAGTTTTCATTCATAAGATTTCAGTGAATCGCAGCAGCTACACATTTGATCTACCATTGTTTTACTGTTACTCATTAGTGTAAGAGGAATGATGCAGAAGTCAGTTCCTAGGACTCTATCCAATTATTTTAACATATTGAACGCGAAAAGAAATATTATCCTCCATATTTTAGGAGTATTCTTAAACTGAATCTATTTAGACCACAAATAGCTGGCAAAATCTTTGCAGCATTCCATGGAAACCAACCAATTTAGACGATGCCTTAACATTAACATTGCAGTGTCTTGGTACTGCTGTACCCATTGGAGGTTTTACCTCCAGCATCTTTATAGTTCACATCTGAAGCACATCAGCAAAAGAAGCACAGAGGCCTAATCACCTGGAGTTCTCAAATACCCCTTCTGAAGAGGAAAAGAGAAATAAAACAGTACAAGAATGCCCATAAAAGCCATGCCAGTTCTGTTCACCCTCTTCAGCAATTTAAACTGCATCCACTATAACAAATAACAAACCCGTATCCAGTGTGATCTCAAAGGTTAGATTAGTCACCTGTTTGGATGGGAGTGCATTAAGTGAACTCCCTCATTGTGTATTTGGTGATTTCCAAAAATAACCTCAGAAAAGCACCACCTGATCAGCTGACTGCAAAGGAATGATAATTTCATGGGTGATTGTCAAAGGGCAATTACCCTCCTGGAGACAAAGCAAAAGGAATGTCTCCAACTACAGGCATTGCAAGTAACAGCCCAAAGAGAAAGCTCAGAGCCAGAGACTTAAAACTTACAGATTCCACTCCCAGCTAATCTTAGATTTGTGTATGCAGATGATAAAATATTTAATCTCTGCACCTTAGTTTGGGGGAGATACTTCTTAAGAAAGAGAAGAGTTGGAAGGATAAATGCATGGGATGAATTATGAACTACTTGTACTACTGTGGTCAGGGATCCAGACAGATCTGTGGATTCATTAAGTCTTCTGGCCCATGAATGCCTCAATCAGAAAGCACAAACTCCCACAGTAAGGGAAAAAAAACCTCAAGTCCTCTTCCTCAATTTAAGTCATCATTTTGGTTTGCAACTGCTCTCACCCAACTCCCGCTTTCACAGGAATCAGGCAGCAGAGGAGCAAACCCGCAAGGCACAGGATAGGCAGGACCCAAGAGAAATGACAGCAAATGCCCCCAAACACACCAGTGAGGACTCAAGCACCGACCCATCTCAGACAGCTGATCCACATAAAAATTCAAAGCAAGGATAACAGGGAAAAAAATCCACAGACAGTACTGAGTGCAACAGAACAAGAAAAACATAAAGCCCTGATGTATTGAAAATGTACAAGACTGCCAGGTCAGGCGTCCTTGGATCCTCCCTTCATTCCCTCTCTGTCTTTTCAGCTGTGCCAGTGCAAGTGCTTGTAGGGGCATGTCATAAACCACAGGAGAGAAGCAAACCATGCTTAAAAATTAATAATTTTTTTTTTTAAAGCTGTTTTTCAGTTAAGTCAACTTTTCAACTCTGACTATCAGGAAGACACTCGATATAACACAATCCAATACAAAAGACAATGGCAAAACCAGGAACGAGAAAGAGGATATACTCAGATGGTCCTGCTGAAGAATCCTGCAGGGATGCTTCTGAACAAGAATTCAGCAGCTGTATGACTGTAAGCAGCACTTTTACTACACTGCTACCTCTACCAGCTACCTTAGCATTACATTAGCCTCAAAATTTCTTCTCATGTTCATTCACCACAATAGAACAGGCCTTGTAAGTTCAGTCTGTGTGGTAATTGGTGCCACATTTTCATGGTAAGTAGCTGACAGTGAGTCTGCGGAATGATGCTGAAACATTCAAAGAACCAATAGGATTGAAGGAGGCTAAATACCACCTTGACTAACACTGACTTTGTGACCTGAGGACTCAGCTTAGCTTCTGTTCAGGTAGATGATCCACAATCCAAAGCCATGAAAAAAGAGACAAAAATCATCCCAGCAGAAGTCTGCCACCTTTCTATCAATGCATCATTGACTCAATGTGCTATTTCTTCCCTCTCCCAGTTAAAAAAGAAAGCAAGTGAGGAACTGAAGTACAGTTAGTACTCAATGTAATGGTATTTTCACACAAAATTTGAAAGAATATTGTAACTAGTAAAATGAAAAAACTGTCACAAATGAAAAAACTGCCACTCTTTAAAATATGAGTGGTTTATTGTTAATTCAGTTCACTGATGTGATTACTGAGAATGGGAAGAAATTCAACAGTGAAGGCTGCAAAGCTGTGTATCCAAGGGAAAAATACATGCATAAACTGGGAGATCGGTCAGGAAGATATCAGGAGAACATAGGGCTTTGGCTTACCACATGCTCACAGAGTCACCACAGGATGACAAAATGATACAGGCATCAAAACTAAAACCACAAAGATACAGGAGATCTCCTGCCACCAAAGACAACAACAACAACAACAACAACAACAACAACAACAAAAAAGTGTCACTGTGTACTACATATCATTGACATGCAAAAAAAAAAGGTCTATGTCCAAAATGTTGAACTTGACAACTTGCATGTCTCTCTGAATCACTGGATTTCTGAATCTGATAAACACTTACAGACATATTATACACACAAAATGGGAGGCAACGTAGGTGTTGCTTTCATCCAGCAGTATGCAAAGTATGGAATGGAATAAAAAATCTTGAACTAGTCTGATTTTGTAATTAGATTACTGGGAATAAGCTGCAGCAAACTTTGAATCAGCTAGCTCAAGCAGATAGCTGGAGGGAACTGGAATGTACCCATTACACAAATATAAATAAATTACTAGCAGAAAATGCTTAAATATATAAATAATTAAATAACCCCAAACAAAACAAAACAAACAAAAAAACCCACAACCAAAAAATGCAAGAACAGGCTGCCTTCCTGAAAAGATTCCCAGTCACCCAAGGGTGTTTGGGTTATTATGTCATCAACTAATGATCAGTGCAATTTTGTTCAGACAATATGGCACTGATCCTCCACACACCCTGTGCTTGTTCAGCTGTCCTGACAGACAGGCTGTAGGCAGCCTCCTCTCTCCTGAGTGGAAAAGGTCAGAGCTAAACTCCCTACTGGTCGTAACAAAGAGGAAAAAGGGATAAACACCAAGAAATGGTTAAGTTAAAAAGTGACACTAGTATAAGAACAGCTGAGTCAGCTCTACATGAACCTGAACAAACTGCAGCTAGAAACTGGGAGGAAAAGTAAATTCTGGAAAGCTTTCCAAATAGGAAAAGAGATAAAAAATATCTATCCATTTTAAGAGAGACCTGGATACATTTAGGAAATATTGTTATGTTGTTTCCTATTGTAGTAAGATACTAGACTTGCTCCTGTAGGAGGCTTTGTCTATTCCTCCCTTCCTCGGTGAAATCTTTTGACAGTGCTGCTTTGAGTGGCTCTGTATGCCTACAACTAATGGGGAAAATCCTGTAAAGCTTTGCATCTTTTATACTGTATTTTAGTCTTGCTTACAGACCAAGAAATAGAGAGGGGGACTTTGCCTTTGTTTAATTGAACAACATTAGTGCTTATTCACAACTAGTGTTTCAAAGGAATAATTTCAGCATAAAACTTGAAAAGGGTCAGCTCCTTGTCTTTCTTACTGTTCTTCATATCTTCACATCCTTCTCTTTGTTCTCATCTTAGCACTAGGATATCAATTCAAATACAGCTGTAGCTTTGTTATAATTCAAGTTTCTAACCCTGAATTTGTTTCACAGATATATACACATTACCCCAATGCACACACATGCTTTCCCCTCACTCCATTGCTTTGGGCACTCTCAGCAGTGCCAGAATCAGGGAACTTTAAAATGGCTTTGGATGTTACCTATTCCAGCATTACTTTTTACTCACTTGAAATGCTCAGGGAACTTCTCAACCAAAAGAAAAGTGACCAAGTAATGCAGATGGTGGTGTCATTTTATTCTCTCATCTAATGCTTCTTACTTTCAACTCAAAAAACTCTACTGTAAGGCTGTTTATTTTGACATCTGTTTATTTCAGCACTACTAAGTCTGAGAAGCCACATAAATAGTTTTCATAGTCCCACCCAATTTCTACTGATAGGCACTCAGACTTCTC